TACAGCCCTTGCACCGTCGGTGAGAAATAGGGGAACAGAAGTTCACATCGTTTTATAGTCTTTACAACTATAAAACAAACAAATATGTTAACAAAGAAAAACAAAATGCAATATACCCAAAACACATAAGCGAAAATAAAATGAAAGACAAGATAACAAAAAACGACCATAACACAGTAAGTTAACGGCAAGATGTATAAGCACCGAGACACGCCAAAAGGGAACTCTTTGTGTTGTCAGGATGTTTAAGAACCCGTCCACGTCCACTCTATGTTTTTGTTAGATGTATTTATATTTGTATTCATCTGATGCGTGAAGCTTTTTTCAACTGATCATTATAGTTTTGTGATTAAAATAATCTCCGACTAAGTAAATCGATTAACAACATGAAGGGTACTACATATTACATCCGGTGAAGAATATGTTTTACGTTCAAGAGCCCAAGAGATCACTACTAGTGTTAGTGATAAGTTGTTCGTGTTGTTCTCACATGAGTGTTATGTGGTGTTCTCTGTGCATTTGAACTTTTTAAAGTACGGTCGTTTTATACAATTTGTCTATCTATTTTCATTGAAAGCGTGTTTCTATTAGAAATTTCACATTGGGTAAAGTTTCAAGGATATAATTTTACGTCACCGACTGTTGAATAATTTGTTTTAGGCTTAGCTAATACTTAATTAGTAATCCACTGTAAGCGGATGCCTTATTACTTGGTATAACTTATGAGCGTATTTTACAAGTTTTATATATATATAATTCAAAATTTTGTTAAAATCTGAAAAGACAAGCTTCGTATTTCACGAAGCTTATCCTTTCAGATTTTTATAAATTTTGAATGTTCAAATATTCCTGCAATAGATCACCAGTAAGGACGCGTGTATTGCTAAAATGCTCGTATAATGTTAATTGGGTGTCGCAAAATAACAGGCTATGTTTACACTCCTCTCCGCATCTGAGATCACATCTGATATTCTTTTATGGTTAGTGTTGATAATATTCAGCTTTCTTTTTGGTGTTTTGTATGCTGTTGTTCTTTTTTTATCCGTTTTCTTTTTTTCACGGCATTGTCAGTTTCTTGTCGACTTATACATTTGGAATCTTCCACTTCTTATTTAACGTGTTGAAAGTACACAAACATGTCAACAGTTTGTGGCCTATTATAACTTCGACAGATTTATTATTACTTAGTAGACGAGTCGTCATATTTTTCAAATTTGATTAAAAGCTACCCAATTTAAGTTAGGCGAGGAAAAGGGAAAAGGCATGACCTGCTCAACAATGTTGCTCTCGAAAGTAGAAAACTGTGATATAGGTAGTAACTAGCCATGTCCGCTCTACTATGAACAATACACATATTCGTGTATACTAAATTGTAAATGTTTTTAATCTGAAATATAGTCGATATTAATTTTTGTTCTTAATTGAACCAGTAATAGGCTAAATTTCTATCTTTTATTATGAATATGTGGTTATCATTTAGATTTAAAAAAAAAATCATGAGCTTACTACTTTGTTAAACAGATCTTCGTCTACATTATGTACAACTTATTTCACATGGGATGTTGCTGCATACTCCCTACCGTTTAACATTTAGATTAAAGTTGTAATAACTAATAATATTTCTTATTTCAGAGATCTATGAATATAAACGTACTCCAGTTTTTGTTTTAATATATACAAGAAGATTTAAAGTGAAATAATATAGACGATACCAAGTTGTCTGCACCAGACGCACATTTCGACTGTTACAGTGAGTTAAGGTCTCTGCAGTGATGTTCAAGGCTAAACTATTTGACAATCTTAAATTTAATACAAACGTTGAAGCGCTTCCACTTGGTTTTATTTTGTTTAAACCAAAACTGTGTAGTGTTCATAATGCTGCTATAGATACCCCAAATAATCCGTTTCAAAATGTTAGCAGGCGTTGATAGGTTTAATGTTGAACAATTCAATTAATTTCAAAAATCAAGATGCAAGATTCAAGATTTTATTGTGAAGCAACGCCTAGACACATATATGTGTTACATGAGGTAAATATACAATAATAAATATTATTTATAATACAAAGGTAACATTTAGAAATAAAAACAAATAGAGAGAATTCATACTAGCAATATACATATCACAATAAGTTATTAAGCTTTCTAATAAAGGATGACATCTATCTATCTAAATTAACATTGCAGTAAGATAATATAACAGATAAATTATACTTGCTTGGATGCTTTCTATAATAACTAGGGATATGTTTTTCTTTGAAAATAACCAGTTGAAGAGACCTAATTACATACAAAAAGATAATGAAATTCGTCTCCTACATATTCTTAATACCACAGTCCCACTAGGCCACGATGTGAAAAAAATGAAAATTTTGACGATCGTAGCGCGATCGTGCAGATCGCAGTAGGGTCGTAGTACGGTCGTGGTGAAGTCTTCATGATCGTGATGAGCGTGGTCAACGTTGAACATGTTCAAAACAATCGTGGTCCGGTCGTGGCGAAATCAGGTCGTAGTAGAAGCGTAGTGAGAGCGCAGTAAGGTCGTGGTAAGATCGCAAAGGTCACTGTACCATCGTAGCGACAGCGTAGCGGAAGCGCGATTCTAGTCGGGGAGACTACGCTAGAATCTCACAGCGACTTTACTACGACCATCACGTTCCTACCACCACCCAAACACGCTACGACTATACCATGTTTATACCACGCTTATACCACGCTGTTCAAGACCATAGTACAATTTTAGCACGCCTATGCCGTTTCATCACGCTGTTCTTACGACCCGACTACGTTCATACTACGATCATCATACTCATTGTCATTGTCAAAAAAAAATTATAAAAGCTCTCCAGCTTGTGTTTGTCTGTATGTAATTTGGACCTTGATGGACCAGCAATAAGTTGTGATTCAGGTTGGATTGGTCGGTCCGACATATATCTTCTGGATCATGATTCCTTACTATCAGATCTCCCTCTGCCTCTACCTCTACCCTTACCCTTTCGTATATTTTGGTTGCATGACTGCGCTGTTTCCGAGAAACTCTACGTATCAATGAGAAATAGAAGGAATGATACAGTATTTATATGGAATACGATGTTGACGTTATTGCTGGGAGCGTAGTAAGATCGCGGTATGAACGTGGTATGATCGTAGTATGGTCGTGGTAAGAGCGTGCTATAATCGCAGTAGAAGCGTAGTAAGATCGTGTTGCAATCGGATAAATCGTGGTATGGTCGTTGTGAGGACGTGATGAGCGTAGAAAGATCGTAATAATCGTAGTGAGGTCGTAGAATAAGCGTGGTGAGAACGTGGTATAATCGTAGCGGGATCGTTGTAGAAGCGTAATGAGGACGTAGTAGCAAAGTAATTGAAACGAAAATTTACATTTTCACCGTTCATACTGCGAGCTCACCACGATTTGAAATTATTTTAGATCGCGGTGAGCGTGGTGCGATCGTGGTCTAATGTGACTGGGGCTTAATATATGTGACATTTCCAGATCTCCGCCGAAATATTATACCAACTTCAATCAAAAAGTAAATGAGTAAATAATTTTAGTAAAAAATGTTTTCTTTTAATGATATTCCCGGGCTTGTGTTTCCTATCATGATTTCCTTGATAGAGGATTGCTTCTCACAAGGAAGCTATTAAACCAAGAGTTCCAAATGGGGAAGTTGAAATCATCCCTTCGTAAATTTTACGAACGCCATCACGAGTTGGTTGACCGTTATGGAATAACCGTTTCACAGATGATATCGGATATGGTCCTTATATCGTAACTACAATACCCTCCCTTTGCACGAATGTGACTAACCGAATTAGACTATTTACCGGATTTGTAATAACATAAGCAACACGACTGGTGCCACATGTGGAGCAGGATCTGCTTACCCTTCCGGAGCACCTGAGATCACCCCCAGTTTTTGGTGGGGTTCGTGTTGCTTAGCCTTTGGTTTTCTATGTTGTGTCATCTGTACTATTATTTGTCTGTTTGTCGTTTTATTTTTGGCCATGGCGTTGTCAGTTTGTTTTCGATCTATGAGTTTGACTGTCCCTCTGGCATCTTTCGTCCCTCTTTGCTAAGAAAGAAGGTTGATGATGCCAAAATTACATTGTGTCATATTTACAATATATGTTTCGATTGCTCTAGCATGTTCATGTTATTTTGCAAAATGCATTCATTCATTCATCAATTACTTATACGCTGAAGAGAAAATGGCAATGCCTTCACAAATCAGACGAAAAGGCAAATAACAGTTTATACATTACATACAAAACTAAAGAATGTGCAAAGTGTAATCAAACATTAACTGGAAATGATTTTTGTAGCACTGGATGGGTGAAATGTTTTTGTTGTACCGTCATCGTTTTTGAACTCTTCTAGATCATGTAGATAAGTCATGAATAAACTTATCATAGATACTAGGATTGAAATTTTGTATTTGCGCCAGACGCGCGTTTCGTATACAAAAGAATCATCAGTGACGCTCGAAGCAAAAAAAGTTAAAAAGGCCAAATAAAGTACGAAGTTGACGAGTATTGAGGACCACAAAATCCTTAAAGTTTGGCCGAATACAGCTATGGTAATCTATTCCTGAGCTAGAAAAGTCTTAGTTAAAATAATTCAAAGTTTTGTGAACAGTTAAATTATAATTACACGAATTATGACCATATCAATGATAATTCGTGTCAACACAGAACTGCTGACTAATGGACTGGTGATACCCGCGGGGAATAAATACTCCACCAGCAGTGTCATCGACCCAGTGGTTGTAAATAAACACATCATAGAAGCTTGCCTTCGTTGAGTACACTACATTTGTTTTAAAGTAAAATAAAAAATACCGAACTCCAAAGAAAATTAAAGACAGAAAGTCCCTTATCAAATGGCAATGCCAAAAGATGAAAGACATCACACGCATGGAAAACAACTTCTTTCATAGATAAACTATACTAATATAGTCGAAATCATAACGAAGCAATTGAACACAACTACAACATTGAAAAAAACACATTGTTTTCACAGTGCAATAAAAAAAACATCAAATATAATAAAAAAATAAATCAGCTTAGTACAAATGTTACTTACTGTTTTTGACATAATAATAAAACTAACGTATTGGATGGATATGCTGGGAAACGATTGTCTGGGAAAAATAGAGTGTAAACAACTATAGTGTAAATCCCATCACAGAAAAAAATAACACATTGATCTGCAAATGCTTTTATAAATTAATTTGATACTTTTTCTAACTTTTAAACTAAGCTATTTTCACTGACAGACCAGTTTCAATTCCTCCCACTTTTCACCAATATTTTAAAATTTCACAGAATGATTGCATATATCTGAAAGCTTTTTCCGGCCAGTAAAGTGTCGGTCACTTTGTATCTTTTTAGCTCGTATACTTTTCACATTTTGGGTTGCGTTTCTAGTCTTCTTGTATACAGTAAACATTAATGGTTGGGTTATGTACATGAAGTAGTAAATTATGCTTTTACAAAATAAAAAACTCACTTTAGTATTCGCTTGTATATGATTTTATCCCAACATTATACTTTTACTCATACATCTTTACTCAGGTCTTGGAGTACAAAATATGTGCATGAAACAACTAATCCAGTCAAATATCCTCCAATCATAAAAATCAATACCTCAAATAAAACAGTGAATCCGCAGTAAGTGTTATATATTACAGTTATAAACAAGGATAATAAAATGGATGATATCTACTCTGACAAGGTTCCTGTCCTTTTTTGTACGCGAAATCTTACTCCACACCATAAGTTTTCTTCAAAAAAGCTAAGCCTTCAGCCGCTTTAACATGTTTCAATGTTACCATTAATCGATAAATGGTTGGTTTGACCCGGTTAGTTTTTTTCCAGTCTTTCCATTTTACGAGGAGATCGTGTATTTGACCATTTAAATCTCTTGGAAAGTTGTGCATAGTTTCCTTTATGTTACCTATACTTAGACCTAATTCTACCCCTAAATGAACCACGCAATCACCTATTAGCTTCTTTTTTGTCAAACTGTTAATAACAATATCTGAAGGAACATCTTGCAGGCAAGCATTGGCTTTTTCTGTAACAAAGTAGGCAAAATTGAATTGATAAATATTAACAACCAAATAATCATCAATACTTTAATATTTTGCATGGATAAACATGCGAAAAGGTGAGAATAATTGTTTCTATGTTTTCATCTCTTTTTAAAATCTGCCTTATATTTGTTTGATATTGGGTCGAAGACTCAATTAACAGTAAGAAAATCAATAAACCGAAACTATTGAGCTTGTGTATTACCCTGTTACGTTCCTGTATTGTTGACGAATGATTCAATAGTGTAAGTCGTACGATTTTTCGCAAATTTGTATAACTTATAACTACAAAAAAAAAAAAACGAGCACAAAAATTTGGGTTATTGTTAGCTTGTAAACGTTATAAAACGAGGCAACATACGATTTTATAGCAAACAAAATGAGTTCCCTGGGGAAACTCACCTCAGATCACTCAGGCAGATTTTTTGTATTTGTAAAAAGACCAGTTATAAGCCGACTATATATATTCGTTGTTGTTATGTATAAATTATTATGCTTCTATTTTAATTATGCTTTAAAACGAGATAAACAAACGCTACCTGAAGATAAAGTTTCTTTGTTTTCATTGAAAATACCGTCATCTATAAAATTCCTAACAATAGGACCAACATAGATTTCCGTAATTTAGTTACTTTTTCACTAGAAATTATGCTGGAAATTGTTTTACAATAAACAAGTTTACATACATTTGCTGTTAATGGGGTATCATAAAGTATTTGAAAGGTTTGCTGACATCGTCCCCTTTCACAAGTAACACTGGCCTCACATTATACTTTAATCGCAGAAAATAGCCAACATCATCATTGAACATAAACAGAACGATATATGAAAGTACATGCAAACTAATAAGTATCTAAGAGTTTATTTGAATACAGATAGACATACCAGCTAAACTATGGTCCTCTCTGTGTACCTAAAATATTTAAATATAGAATTATGATGAATTTATTTATATTCATAAATAACGAATCAAAAATAACATTTAAGAACCATCATTCAAAACAAGGGGAGTATCTTTTAAATGCTTTATTCTTTAATAATAGGGCTAGATAATATATATCAGTCATTTAAAAAAAAATGTACATATTTCGGTTATTGTCGATTATCCGTTTAATTTGTATGTTTTACATCATTTTCCATTTTAACATTAGTAAGAGTTAACACACACCATGCATACGGCAAGATAGTAAGTTCAAATATTAGTGTCCATATAATTGAGAGTTCACTTGCCGATATTACCATACAAGTATTAAGCGTGTAAAATTCATTTATTATGCATTGTTTTTTTTTTAATACTGTTTTAATATGCTTCACCGATTGTGATAAAGACTTAGATGACGAAGATCGTACTTTGACCTATAAAGGTTTACTTTTATAAATTTTGACTTGGATGGAGAGTTGTCTCATTGGCACTCATACCACATCTTCTTATATCTATTAGATGTTTATTTTGATATCTGAATCTTAATTGGTTCATTGGTTCTCTTGGTCAATGGTCTTTGTTCTGCTTGGTTTTTTTTTGTCTTCGTTTTAACTAATATTGCTTCAGTGTGCTATTTTGCAATAATCATATTTTGCGTATAAAATATAATAACAACCAACTTTTGTATTTCTTTTTTGCAGACATTATACTTTCTCAGGCCGAAAAACAGCGTTGTTACAGGCTAAAAAGAGATACAGACCCCGCAAGACGCGAATAACACTTAAGGAAAGAAAGAGAAAGATCTACACAGAGGAATGTTTTTCTTAGTACTACTCCACATTAAAATTTTCATACAAATACTTATGCCCAATCGCTCAGCTAAGGGGGTATTTAGTGTTATCCTTGTCCTTTCGTAAGAGTCGGCTGTACTGTACACATCCGTCTGTCTGTACGTCTGTCCATTTACTTGACCAATGATTTCAAACTTTAAAACAATTCTTATAATCATAATACACAGATCAAGTGTGATTTTCAGCCAAAATACCCTGTACGGTTTTTAAGCGGGAGCATATATGTCCTTCCAACACATTCTTCTTTTATTTTCATAAAAAGTAAATTATTTTCCAATTTGAATGAATTGATTTATTGTATGAATTATTGTACAGGTCATTGCTAAATGATTGGCACTAAAACAGGAATGATTTTAGACTACAGTTTGAGATCAAGAACATGCAGAATATGTGTAACAGCCAGAAGGATGAACAAGATTCCAAAAGTGCATGTTTGTAGAAAGAATTACAGTGAAAGTTCCAAAGCAATGGAATCTGACATGGTTGTACAGATGGTAGCAAGTGCAAGAACAAAAGGTACAAATATTATGACAATAGTTGGAGATGAGGATGCTACAATCATAGCCAGACTGAGAACTAAAGTTGACAAGTCTATGAGATAGCAATCACGTCAAGAAAACCCTAGGAAAGAGTCTTTTTGCTATGAGAAATAAACATTCTCGCCTTACAACAAAGATCATTTATTATTTGATAAAATGCTTTAATTTCTTGGTTGCACAAGCTAGAGAAAGACCAGAAGAAATAGAGAAGAATTTACCTGCACTATCCAAACACCCCTTTGGTGACCACAGCAGTTGCAATCCTAGTTGGTGCCAGTCTTTTGAAGACTCTGGTATAAAATTTCGCTCTTTACCATATGGTAAACCTCTTAAAGACCAACAACTGCAGGCCTCATTGAGTACACTGTTCAGTAACTATATAACACAGTCTGAAAAGCTAGCTCATCTTGAAAGTACACAAGGCGATGAAAGCTTCAATAAGACAGTGGCTTCAAAAGCACCAAAAACGAGACATTATGGTAGTTCCGGAAGTCTTTGCTATAGGGTTGCAGCAAGTGTTGTTAAAAAAAATAAAGGTCACAAATACTTCGTTGATGTAAGAACGAAATTGAATGCATCATTGAATTATTGTTAGTCTCCTAAACAAGCCTGAACACTGATTTTCATATGTTTCTAGTAGAATCATATGAATACATGTACAAAAGAGGGACGAAAGATACCAGAGGGACAGTCAAACTCATAGATCGAAAACAAACTGACAACGCCATGACCAAAAATAAAAAGACAAACAGACAAATGATAGTACAGATGACACAACATAGAAAACCAAAGACTAAGCAACACGTCTAGTAGACATTTAGATCCACTGAAACTAAATTCATACATAAGCCAGCTGTAGCAAACAATTTAGTAATAATAGTACATATTCGAAAAACCTACATATTCAACACAAAATTAAGTATCTCCCCAGCTTAGAATTGTGCAATAGGAATTACATTGATTTATAGCCTACATATAATTTATAATAAACTTGGACAAAGGGAGATAACTTTCAAATTTGTAATAAAGTACAAATCGAATATTTATATTTCATATCTAAAGGTCAAATATGTCTTATAATCAAGCAGAACTGCCACTTTAGGACACATTTAAACAGTTTTAGTTTAACTACACATGGAGCTATAACATATATATGAATAAATGAGTACTAAATCACTTATTTCCCAATTTGCATGATTCTTAGATGGGTCTGCTACTTAGATGTAAGTCATCAGTTTGGCATAGAGAACAAAATCATCACAATTCATGTTAGTTTGGGAGACTCTTTATTTTCCTTTCTATTGACAGGACATACTATGGTATACTATGTCTGTCTGTCAGTAGTAAACTCAGTCTAAATTGTAAAATTGTTTTGGAACTAGTCTGAGAATTATGACTAACTGAAACTAAAATTTGACATTTTTCTCCTATAAAACCAAATCAAAAATCATTTCATGGACAATAGGGTACCATATTTGCTCCTGGCCCAGCTGTTTATATTGATTTTGACATTTTATCATTATTTTTTTCCATTAATTGTTAATTTCTGTCAAAGGAAAATTAGGGAGAAATAGGATAGATTTTTTTTTCTACTTTTAGTTTTCAAAAGTATTTGATGAGTGTTGGCTTGTTGTCTTGAACACTATATATAAGTTATTTTAAAGTTTGAAAGAATGTTCACCAACCAAATACAAGGAATTACATTTTGCTCCCATTTTCATTCCTTTGACAAAATGAAACAATTTGACAATTTATATCTTGACTACCACATTGAATTTTTTATTATTTCTTCATCATTTTGTGCATGTTATTTCTTATGATATTGGATTACAAGAAGTTCAAATTACTCATATTGGAAATGGAGAATAAACTACATAATATGTTACAGAAAACATATTTTTTTATTGAAATAATTGTAATGTCATTAAAATCAGTTTATATTGCTTTGTAATGGACAACAATATTTTTACTCTAAATTTACCATTAATAAAATATTTTTTCAGTTCACAATTCAATGGGAGATAACTCTTTTCATGACAGGTTAACTAAGCATAATACATTCAGTAAAAAATATAGATATATCATTTTTCATATAAAGTTGAAAGGAATTTACTAACCAGTACCAATGATTGAACAAATATATATATATATATATATACATTACAGGCAAATAGAACGGCTGGTCTTCACCTGGTGTTCACACATCAAAAGTCAGCACGCTGAGAGACCTCCAGTACAAAAAGAGAAAGTCAATAGCAATTACGAAGAAGGCTAAACTGAGAAGATTAGAGTTGAAGACAGAACGGTAAATTTGAAAAATGCATTGACAAGCAAGATTAAAATATAAAGAGCCTGTTTAATGTTTCTTTTTAAAAATATTGATATAGATGTTTATGAGACCTCTATCCAAATAAACAGCTTCGCCAAGAGCGCATGATACGCCCGTCGTCTTGTGTGTGAGGTTTTATGCAATAATCATAAATCGTTTTTGAGATACGGCGCGACGTGAAAAAACCACCCCCTGTTTCAGTTACAAAATCCCGTAACCCAAAAATTTTTAATCTTATTTTCAGCAAAAAGTATACAGATCATTTGATTATCATAAGAAACAACTATGTTAAGTTTCATGAAACTGTGGACGGACAGACAGACAGACAGACGGACGCCGAACATTTGTATACCATAATACGTCCCGTCAAAATTTTGACGGGCGTATAAAAAAAAGTAGAAGCCAAATCAGCCATCAGCTATTTTGTACAAGATGTTCTGCCTCCTGTTACGGAGTGTTGAAGGGTCATTGTAAAGGCATCTGTCTGTAATCTTTATTTTATTGTGGCTTTCGTCATGTCAGTTAAAAAGAAATTTATTTTAACAGTTAAAATTTTTTAGTTTACACTGAATTTTGATAGTCACCTTTAAATTTTTTTATAACTTTGGATTTTCATCAAACTTTTCAGCTATCTCTATTATATATATTTATCTTACAGAATGCCAGGTTGTTTTGTATTTTGGTGTATTGCTGTCAAATATAAGGACTAAGTTAATATGTATAATAAAGGTAAAATTTTCAGTTTTGACTAAATTCAGATAGATACCTATATTTAAATATTTAGATATGACAGCAATAAACCAAATTACCAAATAACCTGGTATTTTGTAAGATAAATATATAATGGAGATATCTGTAGATTTTGATGAAAATCCAAGTTGCTTTGAAATAGTTATAACAAAATTTAAAGATGACTATCTGAATTTAGTCTGAACTGAAAATTCTAGCTTTTTTTTACCTTGATTAATTAAATTCTTAAACTTAACAGCAATATGCAAAACAACATAACAACCAGGGATTCAGTAAGATCAATATACAACTGAGATAGCTGTATAGTTTTATGAAAATCCAAGTTAGTTTGAAAAAGTAATAAACAAATTTAAAGGTGACCCTCTGAATTTAGTCTAAACTGAACATTATACCTTATTTAATTACCTATCAATTAAATCTTGAAATTTGACAGCAATAAACCAAAGTACCAAACAACCTGGCATTCTATAAGAGCAATATATAATTGAGATAGCTGTATAGTTTTATGAAAATCCAAGTTGA